TGTCAGTGGGAAAAAATATGTGGAATTTAATTGCAGATTTATTTATTTTTTGTTTATGTGAGAGAAACCTCCAAGATCTGACTGTCATTTCAGACCATAACACCAGCTTCACCGATTATTACTGTACTGTAATATGTGTACCCAGAGGACCCAGACGCGGAAACTAAACAAACAAACAAAAAACAACTGTATTTTTACTTACTTTGACAAAAAGTGACTAGCTTTGTAATATTATTGCATTTAGACTGATGACAGACGCAAACCACAGCTAAGAAATTATATGCGCTAACATAAACGAACCCCTTTCAATGTCAGGTACTCCCACACCGTAACAGTCCCGTAGTATCAACAACAAGCCTGGGCTACGCTAGCTTTACTTTCTGTTAGCAGATGTGAAAACCAAAGTGAGGGAAAACATCTCACCTTTCCTTCCGAATCAAGGGAGTCATTGCAAACTACATCCGCTCCAGAGTTGGAGGTGAGGACTCCTTGGTCCCAGTCGGGATATGGGTTTGAAAAAGAGCGCTCCTCCATCTCTGCGTCTGTAGCCGAGATCAGCTTCAGTCGCTTGGACATGTTATCTCCCATCTCTACGGCGGCTCGGCAAGGCCAAATATCTCAGTACGCTGTAGAGCCAATATAGTGGAAATAAAAAAATCGCCTTACAGAAATATTGTTTTAAACCACACTAAAGTGACATGAAATAATATGTAAATGGAATGTAATCATTAAAAGGATCGAGTAGTGTATTTATGTTTTGTCTAATGCCATTGACATACAAAAGAAGCCACAGGACAACATGCGTTTATTAATCGAAATTAAAAAAGCATGCAAAGCTACCCTTTAAAAGTTATTTTGATTCACACAAAATGACGTTTAAAGCTTGGGGTTACTCATTTTACATTAAAAGTCCTCATTTTTCATTCAGTCTCGGTTTCCTTGAGTACTTTTAAAGGCATATTCTTCACTGCTGTTTCTGTTATTCCCCAGAAATATATTTTGCTTTGCACCGCACAGACCAAAAGAATACTGAATGTAACTTCAGCTGAAAGTTAGAAATAGAGCACAAACAAACTGAACACGTTCAAAATCAAGTTTTACAAACATGAAGTATTGCATTTAACATCCGAGGGTAAAAAAAACAACTTTAATGAATGTCACCTTGGACTGTTGTTAAATTGAGAGATTAATAAATAATGCCATGAGTAATACACCTTCTTTGGAACCAAGTGTGACGCTTAAGTTTGCGCAATGAGACGTCTGAATGGAAAAGGAGAACAATTGTTGCTACACTGGCATTACTGTGGTACTGTGGTTATATTAGCAACAGCAGCTGCGATGCTAAAATGCTGCAGGTACTGCCAGGTGGAGCCAGAATTGGGCTTACCAAAGGGATCAGCAGGCTGTCCGATCAGCAGTGTGCGGGGCTTCCACAGCTCGTTTGTCGGTTGCGGCAGCCTCCAGCCTCCGAGCAGCGTCTCTAGGCAACCCGGAGTCCAGCCTCTCCTATTTTTGGGTGAATGGAAAGAAGTGTGAGCCGCAGTCTAAGTGCACCGGCAGGCAGCCATGTGTCACCGCATCACCGTGTCTCGCCCTGCCTCTCCTTCCTCAGCATCCTCCTCACTGAGCGCACATCGGATTGCTGCCGATGCCAAATCAGTAACACTCACCCCCCACCCCTACACACACACACACGCACACCCCGACGGTTTGTACACAGACCACGGGCGTAACCACCTCACTGACACAGACTTCCCCTCCAGCAGCCGCCCGGTGCCCGTCAGTACCCAGCAGCCCAGTTCTGTAGCTGACTCCTATGTAAATGGTGACAGATGGTGTTAGTGTGTGATACCGTGCTGCCCGGATTAAGCAATATAACAAACCACCACCCCTCCCTTTCTCCCTCCTAACAAATTCCACACACAACCCTCTTTCGTCTATTCATCCTGTTTCCTCTTTCCTTTTTTCTTTTTCTTTTTTTTAAGATTTGAAAGGAAACACATTAGAGAAAAGGCTCTACCTCCAACAGAAGACAAAACTTTGTCGCTCTTCTAAGGATTCACATTTTATCTGCATCTCGGTTGCACTTTAAGAGATACAAATGCTTTTTGGATTCCATTTTTGAATTAGCTGACCACAAGCTATAACTATTAGTGCAATCAGAGCACTAATGGCTCTTTGATTGAGCTGTTTCCACATCTGTCTTTTCCCTTGTATCTCCAGAGCACCGCTTCATCCCAATATCCTGCAGGACCTCTAAAGTAGTTTGAAACTGCTTTCCAGGGAAACTTTCAGTCTCTTCAGCCAAAGAAACTGATGATCACTAAAAGATTTTTCTGAATAAGAGTCATCCATGGGAGTAAACGTCTTTTTGAGCACCGTGGACAGGTTAAATTGAGTTTAGGAGAATTTTGAACGCTGGGTACTTTATTTCCTCTATTCTGGTGAATATACAAAGTGTAGCTTCTCAGTTTATGGTAGAAAACACACAATCAGATGGTAGTAACAGTTCATCACACGGCAAGCATTCAGTGTCACCTACTACTAGTCATTCTCAGCGTTTTTTCATTTAATATTATTGCTGCTAAAACAACACATATAGTTATTGTAACACATTTGTCACATTTGTAGTTGTTAGCAAAGCATACAATCGGTCCTTTCCAATAGAACACAGGAAGTAGAATATCTAGACGAATCTAACCAGCTAACCTCAAACATCAGTTATTCTTTGCGTATCTCTGGTGTCTTTTCACCACTGGTTTGTTCACACATACAGAAAGACATTACTATGACATCTACTTCAAATGTATCATGTATCACAGCATCATCCTGTAGACCAATGATACATTATATTGAGACACACTATTCTAATCTGATATTACGTTTTTAGCAAATTTATAGCAAATGAAACGAAGCACAAATTCAAAGCTTTTTTCATTTCATTTAATTTAATTTAATTTTGTGGTTTGGCGCTATTTCTTAACTTAAAATGTCCTGTTGTAATTGGACATTTTAAGTTAAGAAACAGCGCCAAACAACAACAACACTTCCTTTATATTGTGCTTTATATTGTAAGGTCAAGACCCTACAAAAATACACAAAAACTCCAACCCCCTAAGAGCAAGCACTTTGGTGACAGTGGGAAGGAAAAACTCCCTTTTAAAAGAGAGAAACCTCCGGCAGAATCAGGCTCTAGGACGGGGTGGCATCTGCCATGGCCACTTGGCGATGAGGAAAGGAAGATGGGAGAAGAAGAGTGGTTATTTTCAGCCACTCTAGTTTTAAAATTCAATTTAGATGCAGACGCATCAAATTAAGATTAATATTTTAAGCCAGTTTAAGAGTTTTGTCACATAATCGCGTGCGCGTGTCAGTTAAATTTTAGCGTGATCATATTTTGTCTCTTCAATTTGGCATGTTTTTTAAAGGTTTTGATGATACTTAATCAACCATTGGGTCACTTGACTTCATTAAGAGTATTGGAGGAGGCCACCTGTCATGGAGTTCATTGTATACTGTCAGGCTGAGTTGTTCAATGTTCTCTAAGGACATTTTGTACCAACTGAATAACTCTGTTGACACACAACTTTCCCCCCACTTTCAGTGTTTTCTCCAGTCCTAATATTTCAGCCTTTGTCTCCAGTATTTGATTGACCTCACCTTTAAATACTATCGGCACTTCTTCTCACACTTGTTTTGACTGTTGAATTTGCTTCTCTGTGTCTTTAAAATATTTTTTCTCCTTCGACAGTGCTGTCTGCGCTTCATTCAGTTGTTGTCTTGCCTTTTCGTACTTTCTTTGCGAGTTCAATATATTTTGTCTCTTCTTTGAGTGCCTTTTTCACGTGGTTATCTGTTGTTGGTGGTGTTTTGAGACTGCTCTTCTCTGCGCTCTAACACAACTTGAGGATTTCTGATGAGGAGGAATCTGGGGTTGCCGCCTCTTCTGTCTCTGTCTTAGCCTCCGCTAATTGTTTCCTCTGCTCATCCAGTTTTTTCTGCATTTCTTTTGTGCCCTTCACCACTTTCTGCTCTTCCAGGACTTAATTCTCCTGCTCCAGATTCCCTCTCTGTGTTTTCTCATTCCACATAGTTTGTTTCAGAGAGGCCTCATGTTTCTGAAGCTGCGCGAGCTCTGCAGACAGACTGTCCTTCTCCCATTTCAGGATCAGGATTTCGCTGTCCCTCTGCTGAAGCTGCTCTTTCAGACGGCTCATCTCAAAGTTGCTGGTCTTTTCCTGATCTGAACAAGCCCTTATTCTTTGGTGGCGCTGCTCGTTTGCACTTTGTGTGACACTGTTTTGTCAGTGAGTTCTCCAGCTTGGATCTCACATTAGTCCAACTTGGTGCGCATCAGTGAAATTTGGGCCATCAGCTGTTTGATTTGCTGTCTGGCTGTCTTTGCATCCTGTTTCAAAAGTTGATTTTCACACAGTGTTTA